TTGGAAAACGACCAACCCAAAAAAAATGACGTAAATTATGTCATGACGTTCAATAAGCACCGAAGAAAGCAAACTGGTTGGGGCAAGGAGAAGGGCGCTGTTTTTATAAAAGGCCATTTAAAAAACAACCCTTTATAGTTTCGTAAGAAACATGAATTTTTTTGATGGTTTTTTTTTAAAAGTCATCTTTAATTATTGGAAATTTATAGTCCCTTGAACAATGGACCGAACTGAAGTGTCTGCACACTTGATTGAGCAAATCAGCATGGTTGGGCAAAATTTGACAAATTGGCGACCGATCATTAAAGCATTAGAAACCCCCGCTCTAACGTTCACAAGATAAGTGGGTTTGTTTAATAAATAAATATTGGTGCAGCGGGTTTATCGGCATTTTCTAGTTTTGATGCATGAAGTCTTTAGAGTTTATGTTGCATCAAAACGACAAACCGGTGAAGTAAAGCCAGACAACCCCCTTCGCGGACTATTACTATTCCTGTTCTCTAAGACAAAATAAAGGGAATCACCAAAGCCTATGTTTTTCAAACAGAGGAAAATTTACGGATTTTGTCTCCGGCTTTTTTATTCATTCACCCTACTTGTCGCTTAAGTTATAACGGAAATTAAATGAAAAAATATTTTCACCCATTGCATGCATACATCATTATTTTCAATTTTTATAATTATCTTTTAAAATTTAAACTGGAGTTACATACTGGGATTTTGTATACAGTGTTTACATCGGTTCAGACAAATAAATCATCCATCAATGTAAGTTTGTAATGACTGCAAATTCTTTCTTATTCTTCTTGGGTTCAAATATGAAAACTTACTTTACCACTTATACCCGATAAAATACGAGATGACCCATAGTAAGTAGAGGTTTGAACGTCGTAGGTTTTAATGCCTATCGTAAGCTGTGACGACCATAAAGTTGTATAATTCGTCAGGTACGACATCATCACTTCATTCCGGTGCTCCATACAGGCTTTCCATAGCCCGGGCGTTATGAAATGTTTACGACTTCCCCGGTCGCCATTTAGTCAAGTTTGCATCTTGCCATTTTTTGAAAACAAAGTTGTGCAATCGTTTTCACGTTCCTCCCCTTGATTTAAAGTTGGTTACCTATTAGGAGCTCCGCTGAGTCGAAAAGCCTGAAAAATTTAATTTTTTTGTTTTCATTACATAACAAGTGAAAGCACTTAAAATAAAAAAAAACATCTGCCAAGAAAATTAAAAATATATTCAGAATAAAGATTTTAAATCGAAACATTTTGAGGCACGTTTTGGGTGAAAAACTTTATTTATTTACGATGGCGAAATGTGGCTTTTAAAGTTAAAGCAAATAACAGAAAAATGAAGTTTGTACATTATTTGGCCCCAATCGGTTACTTTTTAGGGAAAACTATAACATATACCCCAAAAAAAAAAAAGTGTTTGAGAAATAAAAATAAAAAAAAAAAACATTTCTGAGGCCTAATGGGGCCTTAAACATATTCAAAAAATGAAATTATTCATGCCCAATAATCTATTCAGGTCTGTCGAAATTACCATGGAATAGTTTCTTTCTGACCAATTACCAACATTACTCATTTTGGATAAATGGAAACTTACGTTGATACAGCCATTAAAGAAACGGATACTGGGCTACCCCAATGGAAGCCCGTTATTCTTTAACCCTTCATATATAGGTAAGCTCTTTAAGTTTTTGATATTTTTAGTATGTTTGATATATTTTTAAATTCTTATATATTTTATAGTGTATTGATTATTAACTATGCAGTGTTTATTTTTTGATAGGTGTGATTATTTAGCAGTGTTTATTTCTTTAAAGGGTTTGATATTATACTTAAAGGACAATAAAACCGCCACGGTTCGGAATAGTTGCATTTTAACAAGGAAAATATTTTCTTTAATATTTTTTCACATTTCATAAACCGAATGGCATTCCCGGTCATTTTGATACCATAGTTATGAAAAATGATTGGGCAAATTTTCATTAAGTTATTTGCATGATAAAGACGTACCCGAAAAATTCAAAAGTAAACACTTTTGGCTAATTGTGATTAAGTTCACCAACGGAAAACAGATTAATCCCCAATTCAGGTTACTTTAATGAAATGAAAAAATTTTTTTTTTTTAAAACTGTTATTCATTATTAACTTGTTTTTCTCACCTTTCTGAAATGTTAGACACAATATGAACAATAATTAAAGTTTTTATGAAAAGAATATTAAACCTATGCCAATGGTCAGTTTAGGGAAATCGAAAAGCTCACATTGAAATTTGAATATTACCACACTTTCCTCTATAAAATGGCTTAAATTTCAAAACACTTCTGAAGAATTTTGCTTAAGCAAATTGTATTTGCCAATGAAAATTCCTACAAAGAATTTTAACCGCTGGGTAGATTTAGGACAAGATTCAGGTCTAGTCTATCTTACAATCAAACTTTGTATTATCAAAGCGCCAACCGTTTGGTGGTCCATCGGGTCTCCCAATTTCTCGGCTTTCCAGGCGTTTTCGCACTTAACACTACAGGCTGAATTGGCGTCAGGATTCCACAGGCACTAACCGCCACCGTAAGGGCCTATGAGGCGACAATGTACAGCTGTAAGAGACGCTGATGGAGGATATTGTCGTTTTAAAGAACCCGACCCGGTGAACTTTACGAATAGACATTATGAGTGACTTTTGTTTTGGATTTTCATTTTGGGGTTTTTGCCTTGTTAAGTTTGCATTACTGTGATGAAAAATTGATTTTGGGATTTCAGCGAAGGTTTCTTCGATTTACTGGTGTACATTTGAAATTTTAAACCCATTTGAAATTATTTTCAGTTTGTTAAGTTTGCGTTTTGTATTAAAAGTTATGATAATATCTAATGGAGTCGTTGTGTTTTGTTTTTCATTGTAATAAAATGCATATAGTGCGGTGCGTGCGTTTTTCATTTCCTTTAATATACAATTATATTTAGAACCAGTGTTGTTTTTTTTTAAAAAGTGAATATATTTAGCAGTGTTTTTTTTAATAGTTGTGGTATTTAAGGCCAGTGCTTATTTTTAAAGTGTAAGATATATTTAGCCAGTGTTTAAATTTCTTAATAGGGTTTTATTACAAGGTATTTAGCAGTGTTTTAATTGTTAAAAAGGGGATAATTTAAGCAGTTTTAAATTTTAATAGTGTTATATATATTTACAGTGTTTATTTAATTGGGTTTATATTATTTAACAGAGTTAATTTCTTTATAGTGTCTGATTAGCTTTGGATTAGGCATTGATATTTTTTTACTTTTCATAACAACGCGCTATTTTCATACTCGATAGTGTTTTTGATGTCGATTTGAGGAACAGAACACAATAAAAATTTTCGACAGACAAGAAATGAAGCTAGTCTTTAATATATTTTAGCAGTTTTCGGAGCAGTGTTTGATACATTTAGCCAGTGCTTTGGCCACAAAAAAACAACACCAAATTAATACCTAATCAATTACTTTCAATCATAAATCAACCAACATGACCGTTGATTACTGATATATATAAGACACATTACGAATGTGTCAGTGTAGGGCAAATGAAATGTCATTTCTGCCAAAGAAGGTCCCTTTGCAATTTCCTTTGTATTAATATATAAATATACTATACAAGTTATCTTTAAAAATTTTCTAGCATAATTTTAAGAAAAGAAAATTTATTTTACGGGCATAGGACCTATACGTAAAATTTCACTCGAAACTTTTTTTTACCTATGCAATTTACACTGAGAAATTTTAATAGTTATATTTAAGCAGCATACCATTTTAATGCGAGAGTAAAATAAAAAATTTTCCGTTGAAGATCCGGGAAAAAGACAAATAAAAATGTGGGCGAAGCGTCCGAAGTGGCGGGTCATGTACAAATGTTCCCCAATGGTCTTTTTGGCTAGATAGTGTAAGTGAAAAGTATTAAAAATCTATTTTTTTTGTAAATTAATAATAACATTTTTAACCATTTGATCGTTTTTAAAGGGGAAACAATTAAATACTTTTTTAGCTCTTAAAAATTTTAAACTTTCTGATCTGAATACAACGTACAATAAGATTTTTTTATCAATCTGGAAAAAACGTGTTTTTGTACTGTTAAACGTTTGTATATATTTTTTTTAAAAGTGTTTTTTTTAACCCTTATTATTTAAATATGATTTTTATATCTAATTTTAGAATATCATGTACATTTACCATCAAAGCCCTATCAGGTTGCCGGATACAAGAAAAAAATCTTATATAGACTACTTTGGTAGCAGAAGGGACTTTCCCCGAAAACCCCCCCCCCATCCTGTCTCTATGGGAACAAAAAAAAAAAACATGTTTCCCACACGAGAAGGGAATTAGTTTAAGCAAGATTCCTTCCAGGTAGTTAACCAATCTAAGTATTATATTTCTAGAATATCATTCTCATTTTAAAAAATTGCTTAAAAACCGTGAGCTTTTATTTTAATAGCTAGAGATTACGTAAATGCATGTTATTTTGAAATGGACAATTTCGGGAAAAAAAATCTCCCATTCATTTTGGGAAAAAGTACCTTTTATTTTATACCGTTGTGAAAGAATTATTCTCTTCCCAATTATCGTCCCAATAAGAACCAAAAGTTCTTAAACAATCAATACCCGAAAATCTCATTACATGTTTTCAGATAGTTAAAAAGTTGGGTTATCACAATTATTAAGGATTATATTTTTTTCGTCTAAAATTACCATTATTGTATTTAACATAAATTCTTAATTTTTCGGGGTTTTAAATATATTGGGTAAGAAAAAAAAAACCTGTTGACCTTATGCTATTTTAAAAACGATTAAATTAACATTTAATTGGTTACTATTCTTAAACGGTTACATTTGGATTGTTTTTCAATGTTAGGGCATTGTATATTTGTATTACAACAGATTTTTCTATAAAAACAAAGATTTCCTTATAACAAAATCTAAATAAACGAAACTATAGATTTACTTCTTTTATATTAAAGATCACTCTTCGTGTTATCGACGGACCATGCAATAAGATAAATCGTAAATTAGAGTTTGTAAGACCAACTTTACCCAATTTTTCAAGATCATCATTCAGAATGGCTGAGATAATTCGCCATCTTCCGGTGGCTACTGGATTTTACCTGCACACTGACGGCGCTTACAATATAAGGTATGCTTTACAACAAAACATATACATTTACTCCAGAAGATTGTCGTCTGCACATTTACGCGCCATAATTTAAAACTTTCCACCAGTATAGAGTCATTTGTGTTGTCTAAACAGCCTTTGGTAGCTCAATTTTTGGTTGATTTTGATTCGACAGCATAAACAATTATATTAGAGTTTGACACCCCTAGCCTGACCCAATTTTTCAAAATCATCATTCAGAATAAGATAATCCGCCACCTTACGGTTGCTACTGGAAGAAACAAATTTCATTAGATAAACCGGTGTAGTATGAAGGAAAATGTGTCCATATATTACTATATATGCCTTTTTTTCGTTCCAAAGAGTTATGGCATCGTCATCATTTTTTTATTTTGTGCATCAGTGTCGTTGAATCTCATATTGTTACATATCGTAGAAATCACAGGTTCCATTGAATAAAGAGTTTTATCCCTTAAATTTGATAACCTCGTTCTGTCTTGATTTTGAAACTTTCAATGATATTGTAAGGACATTAACTACTTAAATAAATTAATAAAAAAATAAATAAAAATAAAACAACAATTCAACAAAAAGGCAACCATTGTGCAGGCAGAATTACGAATGATATACAGGCTGGCTTGGAACTTGACCATGCTAGTGTCATTAGTATGTAATTCTGACCATTTGTAAGCAACACATACTTCCAGAAGTTAATATTCTTGTAAAAGGTTTCGCAAGATTTAGATACATGTAATGTTAAATTGGTTAATCAAGATAAGTTGATACAGTTAGATGGTGTTTGCTGTTTTCAGTGAGGCTGAGATAATTATGAGTGGAGCGATGTTTTTCAACTACTCTTATTTCCCGGATGACCAGAGGGTGACTCTGAACAGGTCAAATGTTGTCAGAGTTGGTGTCAACTGGCGGCCTCATATTCCAGATCAAATCGGCTCTCAGCAGTACTGTGTTTGGGGTGTAGACATGTTTGGGTATGTTCTTCAGAACCAAAGTTATTGAAGCTAATTATAAACTGTTTTTCCACTTACAAATTATTTAACACATTCTTTGTTTATACCAAATACCATTATAATCAGCTGCTGATAATAAATAGTGGATATTTGATCGTTTCTGTAAAAGATAAAATTCTATTCCATCGATTGATCAAAACAGTGCTCTCATGAGTGGCATAGCCACAATTTTTCTTCTTATCTTAAAAACATCAAGAAAAGTTTTACATGTGGAAGGAAATATAATTATCAGACTGTTATGAATGTAACCAAATATTGAATTGTGGTAAATTTTATCGTGTTGATTACGTTTTAAATCTATTTAAGCTTTGTTAGACTCAAAACAGGCCTGTTAATGACGGAATTGTAAGCGACAGTAAACGTGAGGCACCATTTGGAGACCTTTTTCTTAAAAAAAAGGAATCTCTTCATTGAAAAGTGTGAAATTATATCTTTATAAACCTTTTCACAGTGAAATTATCAAATATGAATTTCTTAGATAAATCATTATTCCATACAAAAGCATGAAATGAATTATGACAATAAGACAATCAAAGGAAATACACACTAACTTCACATTTATTCTTCAATGATCATCTACAAATCACCTCTTTATGGTCTGCTAGTGTTATCTTATTTTCTTGCAACATTGTTTTACTATTTTTGTTCAATGACTTTCATTTTTTCATAATGCAAATGTATATCAATTGATGGATCATTGCAGGATTACGACGGACCCAAGATGTGTAACAAGTCTAGTTGGAGGTGAGCAGCAATTGTGTTGATTTTTGGCAGGAAAATATTTTAATAGATGATTAAAAAAATAGATATGTTAGAGCAGCATTAAACTTCAAATTGGTTGCCTTGTACTTCTAGGTTGTTTTGCGTTTAATTTGCGCATGCGCTGCATGATCATATTTACCGCAGTGCATATATATCATACTAATTTTATAGTTAATATTTACTTTTGATAAGACAGTTCTGTTTGACACTATCAATAAAACTTGCAAGCCTGTCTCTTTTTTTACTTTGAGTACTAATGCAAAGGAAAAACCCATCGTAAAAATTATCAGTAACCTTTTTCAACATTACAGATGACGACGATCACTGTGCAACGGGAGCGGTGTCATGTGAGAATAATGGCAAGTGTATAAACATATTCAAAGTTCCAGAGGAGAAATGTAAATGTACACCGGGATATAAGTCTAAAAATTGCTCACAAGGTAAAAATTCAACTTTCAGAGAATGATAGTTTGAAATGTTTGTGAAGATTTTAGTCCAGTATGAAATTAAATCGATTCTATCTATTTATGTACTTAAAATGTTTTCATAGCTTTCCAAATCATTGACCACTTGTGACAGTCGTCTGCCTATGAAACTTACAAATAACCCACTTAAAAGTAAATTGTACCAATTTCTTAATGTCGTTTATCACTTATATGATTATTCAACATTCATTTTTCTCTCGCCAAGCTTCATTCCGTAGAATATACACAAGAATTATGAAAGCTCATTGTACATACACTTTAATTTCAAAATGGCGCATTGGTGTTGGACAGGACTGATTTAAAGAAAATATGAATGCTAGAGGCATTTTATAGTACAAGTAATATCTTGAGTGTTTTAACCTAATATGGGTATGCTGAAGACGATGAGGGTGGATACCAAGAAAATACAATTGACCTTGACCTTCAAAATGTCAATTCAAAATGGCCGCTTAAAAATACTAAAATACGTCATTAAAACTATGATACAATATGATGCAATTAATTATTCTTGTCAAAATCAAACGATTATTTAATATGATCATATTTTAATGAGATTGGCCACCAAATATAACGATTATAAGCCTAATGGCTCAATTAATAGTTATATACAGTACTGTTTTACTAGCGCGTTAAGGTATATGACTTAGATTGAAAAAAAATCACTTTAAAATTTATGTTTTGTTTACTTGACTTATATTTAACAATAAACTTAGTTTTAAATCCGTCTTTATAAATATTACCAAAGAATAAATATTTCGTAATAACGAATCAATATTTCGTTATTTAGATTTTATGTTTCGTTAAAACGAAATAATATTTCTAATTGGGAATTATTATCTCGTAAAAACGAATTCAATTCCGGGAGAAAGTGTGGAAAATGTCACTTCAGATATCCGTAATTTTCAACATTATTTGTAGCTATGATTTTTTTTAAGTTGTTCATTTTGTTTTCATATATTTTGCACTTATTATGGTATTTATGGTTTAATATTTTGAAATGTCAAAAAATGTCATTTCAATGCCATAAATACAACACAAACAAACCGATACAAAAAGTGTTTTAAAATATATACTGCACCCCCCCCCCCCCCCCAAAAAAAAAAAAAAAAAAAAAAAAAAAAAAAAAAAAAAAAAAAAAAAAAAAAACAACAAAAAAAAAAAAAACAAAAAAAAAAAAAAACAGTATGTCTTAAAAAAAGGCAACAGTAGGAATCGAACCATAGACCTCTCACACATCAGTCAGTCACTTAACCGGCTGTGCTTCTGCCGAAGTAACGATAGCGTTTACATTTTTAGCAGATGTGACTTTTACTAACATTAGTTTTATAGTTTTTTATTTTATGCATTTCAGTGGATTACTGATATATGCGTGAAAATTATATTTGATAATTTCACAGTGAAAATTATGAAAATATAATTTCACACTTTTCAATGAGGAAACTATTTTCTGAAGATTTTCCCCATGTGGTACCTCAATTTTATTTTTATAAAATGTGTCACTTGCTGAAAAGAGCTGTTTTTCAGCACATTGTGAACATTACACATGTATGCTGCATGTAAGTTTTTTGTGTGTTGTTTTGTTTGTATTTGCTGTTTTCTGCCGAAAATAATATCTGCATAATTTATTTTTTTATTCAATTATAATTGCATTAAGGTGTACGATGGATAATCGATAATATTAAAAGTCATCTTAAACTTAGAAGTGTATCACATTCCTAACAAAAATACAGAAAACAACAAATGTTTACCATCTTGTTTAAAAATAAGTGGCGATCTAATTTGAAATTTAAGGTTAAAGTCAAAAACAACAACAACAACAATAATAACAACAACAGCATATTTTCATCAAGTCATAAAATGTCTGAAACCGGGAGATTGCTACATGTGCTTGCTTTACCATGGCAGCTATCGAAAATTTTGGAATTCAGTCACGGTTTTGAAAAAATTTACAAGAAGATTATCACATCATTCGATATACACCAGAATTCCTGGTACCCTCGAATAATATTTAAGGATATCTTAAAGTAACAGCAAAGTTATCTATATAATATTACTTCTAATAAATCGAGTAATATTTTCTTTGACCATATACATGTAATTATAAAAGTCACGTGGGTTGGCTACATAGTAGAGGTGTTAAAATATAATTGTAATACACCCTTTGTTAGCCATTAAAATAGCATTTAAAGTATAAAGGACTTTCAAAAATGGTTATTATTCAGAGCGGGCGCTATGGTGCAGTGGTAACACTGTCTGTCTACAAATCAAGGGGTCGTGAGTTCGATCCCCCGCTACTCCACTGAACGAATAAATGACTACAAGACTGACAAAACCAGGACATCGACACAGAATGACGTGAACGATAGATACAACAAGGAGACCTTAACGGATCAGGAAACAAGTACCGAAAGTACAAGACCGAAGACGAGGACCGATAACAGAAGGAAAAACGGAGACAAGAACTGACAACAAGCGAACAGAGACTAGGACCGATAACAGAAGAACAGAGACAGGGATCGATAACAGCAGAACTGACAACAAAACAGAGACGTCGACCGATGACAGAAGAAAAGGACAGGGACCGTTAACACAAGAACTGACAACAAACGAACAGAGACAGGGACCGATAACAGAGGAATAGAGACAGGGACCGATAACAGAAGAACTGACAACTGACAACAGAGACAGGGACCGATAACGGATGAACTGACAACAAAAGAACAGAACCAGAGAACAGAGAAATGACAAAAAGACAACGGAGACGAGGACCGATAACAGAAGAACTGACAACAAGACAACGGAGACGAGCATTGATAACAGAATAACATAAACGAGGAATGATGGCAAGAGAATGGAGACTGGGATCGATAACAGAAGAATTGACAACAAGAAAACGGAGACCAAGACTGATTACAGAAAAAAAGAGACGGGAACCGATGACAGAAGAACGGAGAAGAACGAAGACGAGAACCGATAACAGAACAGGAAAGGTACCGATAACGGAAGAACTGACAAGACAACAGAAACGAGGCCCGATAACAGAACATCTGACAACAAAAGAACTGAGACCATGACCGATTACAGAAAAACAAAGATCACGATCAATAACAGAAGAACTCACAACAAGAGCACTACGACGAGGACCGATAACAGAAGAACGAAGACGACCACCGATAACAGGAAAACGAACACAAACGAACACCTAAGAAATCAGAGAAAGGTGACATTAATAGGAATCTGAGTAGCCACTCTATATGCTTGCATAGAGTGTCAATAAAATACATGAAAGCTAGCAGATAAGGCAGGATAGTGTAGTGTAGTGTTCGATGCGTAAATGCCTTAAAATTTTCAGTACTATCTTTTATCTATAATAATATTTGCCTATAATATTTGCCCGCCATCTTGGATTTTTCGGCAATATTGGATTGTTTTGTTTTAATTCTGTTTTGGTGTCTAATTTGTTTTTACCTGAACATGCTTTGTGACAAATTTCAGGCTTTTCCATTCTTTAAAAGTTTTATTTGCTATATCATCCATTTATGATAAAGAAATTTGACGGCCATTTTAGTGGTCATTTTAAATGGCCATTTCAATGGCCAAGATCAAGTTTTTCAATTTGGTATCCACCTTTATCGGATTCAGCAAACCTTAAATACGTGAAATACACCAAGATATCACTTGTACTACAAAATGCCTCTAGCATCTTATTGGGAGCCAAATTCTCAAAATCAGTCCTGTCTATGTTGGAAATCCCAATATCTTCAAGGTACATTTGTACGTAATTAAACTGTACTCTTTACTTTTTTGACTTTTAATAGTAGCTTAACAAATACAGTGACTCCGCTTAAAACGCTATCGTTTATAACGATATACCGCTAAAGGTGTTGTTGCTGCGATCTCAAATTTGTTGCCTCTCGGATATATCGATATCCGGATAAAACTATATAAATTCGGCGCTCCACTAAATGTCGTTTTAAGCGGAGTTAAGGACTTGTGTGCTAAGTATTTTTTTTATCCCGTCTTGTATCAATTTCGGCCCGATAACAAGGTGCCGTATATTTTTACTGATCTACGGCACTTGATCACGTGTTATGTATGTTTGCCGGACTACTTGTCAAGAAAAAATATAAAAACTGTCGTTAAATCTTCTGTGTGTAGAATAACGAATTTTGGAAACGTTGATAAAACTTTGTTTCTTTATTTTATTTCACTCTATAATTTTTCAAGCGAAATAAAAATTATTAAAAGTGAAATAAATGTAAAACTTAACTCGTTTGCGACATTAAAATAGCTTACTTGATTTGATTGTTTTGCACGTGCTGTTTGGCGCTACATTGTGACGTCACGTAAACAATACCTTAATCGTCTGTACAGCGTTAACGACTGAATAAAAGATATTGTTGTTCGAATTCATTTTCTTAGTTAGACCATTTTCTTTCATTCTAGATAGTTTTCACAACAAAATTCGACAAAAAAATGTTTTTATTTATCACATTTTTCAATCAAATGGCGCCATCAATGTGAAAATACACAGGGAGATAATAAGAACGGCGAGTGCATTGTTGTAGAATAATGCACGCTTCGGGCCTTCTTTGTTTATCTAATAGAAACATTTCCGATAGTGTGATTAAAGGTAGTTTGCCTAATAAAATTCTTTTAAAAAACGGTGACAGGATAAATAGAATAATAGATTGGTGCCGTGGATGGAGAAAGTTTATCTGGCTCTGCTCCGGAATTTATTTGGTTCGCCTTCGGCTCACCCAATAAATTTCTCCGCCTCGCCAGATAAACTTTCTCCATCCACGGCACCAACCTATTATTCTCTATAATGACACACATATTGAGACATCTTTAATTTTGATAGAAAAATAGATCTATAACTATATCAACATATATATTTGTATGTCTTGTATTTTATCAAGTGGTGCGATGCGTTGACAACCCCTGCGAAAACAATGGAACATGTACAGACGAGCCAAATGGATTTAAGTGTGATTGTAAATCAGGTGAGTTCTAAACAAAATAACTGATTTTCTGAACAGCAAACCGTAAATAAATGATAGCTTTATTAGTGTTTAACTTCAAAATGATTACAAAAATGTTTACTGATTTAGTCTGTTATAAGATTGCTACTGAACTAAAGGACAGCGATTTTTTCAGACTATACGGGTATTATGTGTCAATCAAAAGTGCAACCCTGTGGTTCAAATCCATGCCGCAACGGAGGTATTTGTTTGGATATGCAAAATGCATTTATGTGTCTCTGTGCTTCGACGTATGCTGGGGAAATGTGTGAACGTAAGTACAAAGTCTATATTATAGAAATCTCCTAAAAATAGCTTATATTTGTTTGTAAAACCAGAAACGCTTGCATCGTCGATTTTGATGTTTATTGCGTTTACTCCACAACTGCTATGAATTTATTTCTATTTTTCCTCAAAGGAATTGTGCTATATTGTAGATTATTTTTTAAAGATTTTTGAAAAGCTATGACCGTGTTTAAACGGTTGCTTACAATATAGGACCACCCGTTAATCCTAGGGTATATAACCTGTCAACGTATTTGTCATCTTTGTGGACAAAAAATCTTTATCAGAATTATAACATTTATACTCGTCTATGTAAACATACGTTATATATAGTAAAAATGATAAAAGAGTGGTTGTTAATTATAATTTTTTCATCAATTCTGTTACAGACTTCCAACCTAAACAATCAGAGGTAAGTTTACTAAATAAAAACAGTTATCTGTCAACATCACGAGACATTAAAAATGATGTAAATAAAACAAGAAAAGTCATATACTAGTAGTAGGAAACAATATATTGTCCGTTTATATATTATTGTTCATGTACTTGTAAAATGGGAACGACCGTCTTCTAGTGTTGAAGTAAATGGTTGCCTGACAATTTTCATTGTGTAAACTTAGTAGATGAAAATGTATTCCAGTAAATATCAAATGAAAATACAGTCCAGTCTTAATTGATAACAGTCAACAATATATTTTAGAATGGACATCGATCTTTCGATCTAATGTTCGACGTTCCATTAAAATCAAAATGATATTTTAAAAAAACAACAAAAAAATTGATTAACTATTCATGTATAACTAATGTGATAAAAACATCTTTCTTGTGAATATTTCATTTGATTATTTAGCGAGGAGCGACACTCCTTTAGGGAAATCTTATTACAGCAGTACTTGTCATCAGATGTATTTCCTTGGCAAATTACAAAATACAAACGATTTTCTACATGTCTCTTCTAATTATTTTTTATATTATACAGAACGCAGCAGACGACACATTTCTGTCGTGGATTTTACCAATAACGATTGCAAGTACTGCCGCTGTGGCGTTGGTTACTGGCAGTTGTCTTTTTCTAACAGGCGTTTACAAAAAAACTCCAAAGAATAAAACACAAGTGAAACCGAATGACCATGAAGTTTACCGGGTATCTATGTCCGAAATCACTCCAGTTGAAGAGTGGTAAATATTACACGACATGTAGTAAGAAGGAACAAAATGGACGTTTAAAATGAACTGAGGCAATTCAGATGATATTTCCTGATATTTTACATTTTCTAACCCTTCCTTAAATGTTGATGTTGAATTTATTATTGTTGCATACTTTATCATGATAAAACGGAAAGCATTTTTTCTACAGTATTTATGTAGATATATACGTATATAGTCAGAAGAGACACCTTAAACACAGCTTAAGCTGCACAAAGTACACCAAAATATGCAGAAAGTAAACCCTTCAAGATATATCAAAAATCTTTAATAACTTATATATGCTTCAGAGGAAAAACAATCAGAATACGATTACCTTACAAAATATTCAGTAAACAATATAGAAAAATATTAAATGGCTTCAAATTGCAATTATTAAAAGCACGTTCATGTTGATCAGTTGCTCATTTTGTTGACATGCCCTTTTTCCCCTGTATACCGACCGTGTTTTTTTTAATTAAAAAACCTCCTTAGTCCCGTGTTTCTTATTCCTTTCAATCATTTTAACTTGAACCAAGTTGTATTTTAACTGGTCTACTGCATGCAGAATTGAAATATATTCAGTCTTTTCTTGAACGCACATTTCTCTGTTTCAATGGTCTAAATTTTCGAATTAGGAGTTCTGCACCAAACACGATTGCACTTAAAGCAAGTCCACCTGAAGTTTAAAAAGATATATAAGATATCAACATATTCTTAGTCTATTATCCTAACTCTTTAAGTTTTGAATGTACCAACAACAGCCTACAATACCAACCGTTCAAAATTCTGGCCAACTTTTACATTCATAGTCAGACACTTAACTATTGGCAAAACCCTGTATTTTCGGTACAAACATCTATCGAATTCTTTGTACTGTTCAACATAGAGTTCTAAATTCAAAAACCAAGTGTTTTATAATAAAAAGCTGGAAAAGTGTGATCCCTCGGAAGCATGAATCACAAAAAAAAAATCAAAATTGCAATCTCAGTTTGAGTACATTAGGGATTATGAAAAAAATGCATCATCCCTCACTTCCTCCCAGCTACGGCTTGACTGGTACTAAATTTTCAAAACTTAAAATGATGGAATCAAGACCCAGAAAAATGTAACAACATTAAATAATAAGCTTAGCATGGTAACTTTATCATTTTGTTTTATATATGAACCGCGTCACGACAAAACCAACATTATGCGTTTGCGACCAGCATGGATCCAGACCAGCCTGCGCATCCGCGCAGTCTGATCAGGATCCTTGCTGTTCGCTATCAGTTTCTTTACTTATAGGGTCTGTAAGCGAACAGCATGGATCCTGATCAGACTGCACTGATGCGTAGACTGGTCTGGATCCATGCTGGTCGCAAACACATTATGTTGGTTTTGTCGTGACGCGGCTGATATAAGGATGATATTACCTGCAGCCACATAGAAAGCACTTTGTACATGACTTAATGTTAATTGTTTTGCTTCTACTCTCCTTGTTTCTACGTTGCATTGTTGTTGATTCTCCGAGCGCCACCACTTCTTCTTCAAGAATTTTATTAAACCGGAGCTGTACATCTGCGACAACCTGACGAGATATTACAATAATTTGAATTAAATGGTAGATATGATCCAACTAATTACATTACAAGAAATCATACATGTAATATTACATTTTCTCTTATAATAAAAATAAAAACCAGAGTTATTTCCTAGGTGATAGAAATCCCCAAAATTGCATCTAGAAATATTTTCGTTTTTGTGCATATTGCTAACGTCCACGTCGTTGTTATCTAATACAATAAGCAAAGGAAAAAATATATACCTATCAGCAAATATTTGTGCATGAGGAGACTTGTCAGGAAAACCGAATGCCGATTACGCCAAGAATAAAAATGTTATTGAGCCTTATTATAGACTAGTAGTAGTAGTCACTGCAATAAAAACATATTGTTTTCCAAGTGAAATCTTTTAAAATGAATTTTATCTTGTTTGGTTAGAGTTTACCTTATTGCAACACTGTACTGGTCGGGACAAATGGCGACTTTGTAGTTTTACATGTGAAGGAACATCTTAGCCCTTTCCATTTATTAATTTAGGCACAAATGGGCGTCTGAGTATAACCACTGACATTCCGTTAGCTAACTGCATCGCTTCATCACATGAAGAATCAACTACCCCGGTGCGAAAGGAGGCACAGGATTGAGGGTTAATTGGTTTAAAGTCAACGCTTAACATACCATACAATAAAATGAATTACTATGATAAGTGAAAACTTTTACTTTGTTGATGTGGTGGGCATTGTTTGTATTTAGTATCCCTGGATCTGTTTTGTTAAAATGTCTCATCGCTTCACCAATTTTTTTAAAATTCGGAACAGTTGAAGTCTGAAAATATATAATACATCATGAACCGTTTTCTACTATGCGATAAATTACTTGAACTGATCGCCGAAATAACGCAAATAATGCTAAAAGCAAACAAACTTGCGATGACTTGGCTTGAATATAATCACTTTTTATGTTTTTAAGAAACGATAACAAAGATACACGACTATGGATCAGTCTAAATTTGTATTTGACAACGTTAAATCATATAAAAAGCATAGCGGGAAAATGTAAATATCATTATTGTAATTTGTAGTATATTTCTTGAATTAGTTTTACCATGAATATCTGTTCCCAGAGTGTTCCACCTATAGTGCCCCACGTATAACTGTCGGATTGTTCGACCATTTCACTCAATGAATTAAACGGTTTGATTTCTTTGACTACAGATAAAGTTGCTATTAGATTTCCGCAGTATGTTCCATAGATGACCAAAGCAAACAAACACCAACCACTGAAAAATGTCCTGCCAGAAACCGACCTAGGCTTATGAGCATCATAATGGCCTACGGAAATAAAAATGGAATGATAAGACAGGTAATCAAAGCGAATTGACGACTGGATTTTTGTTTTCATGCATCTAACAGCGATATCAAAACAAAAGAACACTTTCTTCTTATAAAGAATTCCCAAGCTCATTACTCAAAATTCTATCTATTTGAATAAGGATTGAATAAGGAAATTATCATAATCTTTAAAATATGTTCAGTTCAAACATATTTATAAAACAATCAACATCTCTCTATCGAAAGACTTAGTAAGTTCAATTGAATTATCTGCTGAATTTCGAAGAAGCTAAGTAACTTTATTTATTCTATTTCTCTTGTTTTATACATGAAGGTGTGATGTGGTTTGTCCCAACAATTGATGGAAAGAAACATCTTGTCATTGCGTGTACACAGCTTTTTCTATCCATTCTCGAAAATCCTGCATAATAGACTCGCACCGTATCATTTGTCAAATCATTACAAGGCTTCAGAATTAAAAGCAGAAAATTTGACAATTAATGAATGAATAGTAGGAAATGCATAAATATAAAGTTCTTCAAAATTTGTAAGTACAACATTCTATTCTTAAACTTTATTCAAAAGTAACATGCTCTTACCTTCATTTAATACAATCACACCTAAACCTGATATAGACCCAAAGAATGACATAAATCCGCATCTGTTCTTCAAACAACTGTGAGCGGAGGGATGTGATTTCAACGCATTCGTATAGTAGGGGTTCCTTCGTTCAAGGGTCATCATAATAACGGAACAAAGTAAAAGTGTGACGATTACAAGTGCAAAAACCTGCCACTAGAAAGGGAAAGTACTTGTAGATTAAAGATTAAAAGAAACCAATAGAAAAGTCCGGCAACTTTCTATTTCAAATAAAAAGTATAAAAACAAAAATAAAAATTAGGGTGATATACTGCTTACGCTGCCAGATCCACAACCTTGCGCTGCGTTTTCAAAGATTTACAAATCAGAATCAATATATTTCTGAAAATGCAGATTTCAAAATTAATCCATTGCTTCCTGTGCTAGATTTATTATTCAGTATTGACTTAAAAGTTGACTTGGAATATTGGAATTCCTGACGAAAGTATAACTACTTTGCAGCATGTGAGCTTTGATTCGAAATATTTACTTTGGTACAAAATTTGATCCTAATTTCATCATTATAATAATTGGCATTATTAGACCAAAATAGGCACACTTAGTTTCTTTCTATGCAAAGAAGCATTGTGCATGTGAAACAATTATCATTTGATCCCAATTCCGAGGCCTGATTTTGGTGAGAACATTTAATTTCTGTATTTATCTGTACTGCTTATTGTATTGTTCAATAATATATTGCGTATCACCCCTTGTCTTGGCAATGCGTGTAAGTGATTGCACTGTTCCAGCATGATGGGTTAAAATAATTTGATTTATCGTCATCGGTCATAATCAAGGTTATAACTACTATCTATCTGATACCCTTCTTTATGCAGCTACTCAAAACAAAGCATACGCTTTTACGCAAATACCGGGTCGAATTTCTAACTGTCACCTTAACCTTTTTATTATTTCTCAGCAATGGATCGGATAATTTAAAACAATAATTATAAATCAAGTCGTTATTTTCCAGACTGTATAAAGCATTTCTAAATTCTATGACAGGAATTGAACATTTTATAATGTTTCAAACAAAGGCATTCGCTAAATTCACATGGTAAAACATTCTTCCGTAGTTACTTATCTGAAATGATAACAATTTTACGTCCGGAAATTCGGTTGAATGTTTGTAAATTTGTTCATTACTGACAAACCTTTAAGGGATCGGCTAGTTTTCTCCAATCATTCTTTTCGTCACTCAAGCGTTTAATAAGTACCATAGTATATCCGAAGTCAAATGGGAATGTATAATCCATGACCATATCCCGCTCATTTGTTATTGCAATATCACCTACAACCATATCGACCTCCTGTAAAACAATTGGAATATCACCTACAACCATATCGACCTCCTGTAAAACAATTGCAATATCACCTACAAACATATTAACCTCGTGTAAAACAATTGCAATATCACCTACAACCATACTAACCTCCTGTAAAACAATTGCATTATCACCTACAAACATATCAACCTCGTGTAAAACAATTGCAATA